GGGAGGTCTGGCCGTGGGGCAGGAGTGCTGCAGGGGGGTGGAGGGGGCTGGCGACTCAGCCGGGAGCCCCTGGGGGGTGCGGCACAGCGGGGAAATCTGTCCCCAGCAGCTGGGCAGTTGCAGGGGCTGGCAGCCAGGGTGCTCCAGCCCCGGCTGCACAGCTCTGGCTCCAGCAGTGGGCAGGATGCTCCAGCCCCACCAGGGAGTAACCAGGCCGCTACGGTGCTGGAGTCCTGGGAGGGGGGAGGGGGGAAGCGGTGGTTTAGCGTGGGGCAGGAGGGAAGAGACCTCCCCTGGTCCGGCAAATCCCCTCGTTTGGGACCAGTCAGGTCCCGAGGGTGCTGGGCCAGGGAGGTCCCACCTGCAGAACTTTGCATATAACACACACACACACACACACACACACACGCCTGACCCGCTGGAGCACACCCTAATGCGCTCGCTGGCTCAGCGGCCATGGAGAAAGCGGTGGACGTGATGCACCGTGGCTTTAGCAATGCTTGTGATACGGGCCCCCAGCTGGCAGCCAGTGTCAAGCAACGTGATCCAGGGGCTGGTTTTGTTCACCAGCTTCATTAGTGAGCTCGATGTTGGAAGAGAAGGTTAAAGGGGTTGAGAGCCAAATATCTGCACGGTGCGGGGTTCCCCGTGTGCACATACGCTGCACAGTGCGGGGTTCCCTGTGCACACTCACTGCACGGTGCGGGGTTCCCTGCACACACACGTGCCACACGGTGCGGGGTTCCCCATGTGCACACACGCTGCTGGGGCTTGCTTCAGCTTCCAGCCCAGGGGTGGAGACAAACCATGGTCCCGGTGAATGTCTAGCAGCAAACCCAAAGCCTTGTCCCCAAGTGAACGGCAGAACCCACCGGATTTGCAGCAAGGGTTTTATGAATGAAGCCACGGCACCAGCAATGCTGGTAATTCACCGTCTGCGCCCAGATGGGGCCTGACCTCCAATTCAGCAAATAACTGTTTACGTCTTCATGGTTTCCCAGCGCTCACACACCCGGCCCAGCTGTTCTCCCACCACCATGCTGGTTCGCGAGTTCACCGCCCAGGTCCCCAGCCCATAAAATCCTCATGGGCTAACCCCCCCTCCTCCCGGGCGCAGCAGGGGCCATGCAGACAGGTGCCTGGCTGCCAGCTGTGAGCCTGGAACCACTGGCCAGGTTTGTGCAGTGGCCAGAGGGGCAGCAGATTGCAGGTGGGTTTCAGTTCCACCTGCTGCTGGAGGCCATGGTGGGCTGCTCGGGGTGTGTGGGGCTGTCTGACAGGAGACTAAACCGGAGGGATCGGGTTGCTCCCCATCGATGCAGGTGGGAGGACGCCAGGGAGGGGCTGTGCTAGAGAAGCTGGCAGTGGTTCTCAGGGACCGCCCCATGCCCCTGCTGGCCTCTCAGACCTCACGGCTGCCGAGGCAGATGGCAGCGAGCCAGCCCTGGGAACCTGAGACATGCAGCTCAGCAGGGTAACGTTGGCACAAGTCTAAATGGGTAGAACCTGGCCAGGAGCAAATCCAGGCTGGAAATGAGAACAGAAGAGCAGCCAGACGGGTCAGACCATAGGTGCATCCAGCCCAGTGTCCGGTCTGCCCACAGCGGCCAATGCCAGGTGCCCCAGAGGGAGGGATCACAACAGGGAATCCCCTTGTGATCACTCCCCTCTCACCCACCTCCAGAGGAACAGAGACTAGGGACACCATCCCTACCCATCCCAGCTAATAGCCATTGATGGCCCTCACTTCCATGAATCTATCTAGCTCTTTCTTGAACCCTGTCGAAGTCCTGGTCTTCACAACTTCCTCTGGCAAGGAGTTCCACAGGTTGACTGTGCGCTGAGTGAAGAAAAACTTCCTTTGTTTGTTTTAAACCTGCTGCCTGTTAATTTCACTTAGTGATTCCTAGTTCTTGTGTTGTGAGAAAATTTTCACAGGCTATGTTTTGGGGCACCCCCCCCCCAATAACCATTGTGGGGGCAAGCAGCGTAATTGGGTCTAGGATGGAGTCCGGCCGTCTGCAAACAGGAGTGTGACAGGCAGTTTCCTGTGACAGTGAATTATGCGGCGGGGACACCCGGGCTGTGGGCCACGTTACCACCGTGAGCTTTGCTGGAGCTCAGCTGCCTGCCACACTTGCCTGGCTGCCGCCCAGGCAGCCCCAAGGACCCCCCCAGCTCAGACCTTCCTAGCAGGGAGCCCCTAGGGAAGTCAGCTCCTTAGAGCAGCGTGTGAAGCGCAGCCCCAGAGGCTCCATGCGCAAGTTCATGCCCTGAGCTGGGGCCCTGCCCTGGGCTCGGACACGCTCCGTCTTCCCAGAGGGGACAGTCCTGCCCTCGGGTGTCCCTGCCACGTCCGGCACTAGGCGGCGCTGCCACGTTAATGTCCCGACGACCGGGGCCGTGGGCCGCCGTGGCAGCATTACACGCTCGTGGCAGAGCCACTGCCTCTGGTCTCCCTGCTCCTGTGTGACCCCAGGCCTGGCTGAGCCTCCGCGGCTTGGCTCAGCCACAGACTCTGAAGCAGAATCCGAGGGCAGCCAGGCCCCGCCTGCAGCTCTGGCACCTGCGGTCACCGGGGCACCACGGTGCTTCCAGATGGCACCGCGCCAGGTGCCTGGGTGTAATGGGATGGGGGCCGAGAGCTGACCACAGGGGCCCTGCCAGTTCCATGGGGCCAGGTCACCCCCGGGGGCAGAGAGGCTGCGGCAGGCCTGCGAGGGGCTGTGGAGGTCCAGGCCCCACTTGTGTCCCGTCCACGGGGCATCACAGCGCACTCACCAGCGTGGGGCCCTGCGCTGCGGTCGCATGGGGGGCTCATTGCCAGACCCCCAGCACGTGGCCGTTTCCACCGAGCGCCAGGGAGCCTGGGTCTCAGCTCTGAGGAGTAGCAGGGGGCGTGTCACTGCTCCCCCGGGAGAGAAACCCAGCGGCACGTGCAGCGCGATTCCTCCGCAGCCCCGGTGGGTCTCCAAGCCCCGGGCCGGGGGCAACGCCCCAGGGGCACGTGGGGGCCGCCTGACACACCTGGTTTGCTCTGGCCCGTGTGCTCCAATCTCTCTAAATCCAAATCCAGGGAGCTGCCAGCTTGGGCCGGACCCCCCCCCCTCAAGGACCC